TATCCATGATATCTAGAGCAGATCTTAGATCACTATTATATATATATATTAATAAACTGGCAAACAATGATATTCATTAGGATGTGAATGAAGAGATGATCCACATCCATACCCTGTGTTTTAGTTTCATCATAGCTTCAAACATTGGTTATTGCATTTTCTTGCGCAATATGTGGATAGTGAATCAACGAATTTTTGTTTCATTTCTTCTTTGGTATTTTGGTGCATAAATATGCGAGCACTTTCTTTTTTTTCTTTCGTTCTATACATTCGAATATTTTACATCATCAGATGTTTGCACTACACGTGGATACACAATCGTAACATATAGTTGAAGAAAAAACTACATTATACTTGTACATTCAGAAGACTGCAGCTTACATATGTCTGGTATTCACAAATCTTATCTTGAAGCATTACCCGTCGAGTTGGTTCATCGAATTTTCGAATATCTCGATGCAGAAACAATTGCGTTTTCAATTCGGTGTGTGAGTAAATGGTTCTATTCCATTGTTAATACTTACAATCACTATGAGCTCGACTTTCGTTACATGTCAAAATCTGATCTACCTGTCATGGCACGTATTATTGATCCTAAAAATGTTATTTCCCTTACGCTTTCGGATGAAATACAGACAATGGATCAAATTGAATTATTTCTTTCTCTCTTTCGTATTGATCAATTCATTCGACTGCGCTCATTAAATCTCATTACAATAAAAGCCAAAAATTTGGATAAATTTCAACAACATATAATGAAATGTCCTCTTAGAACATTTTCAATTTCTTTAGATGGATATTATGGGCACGAGCACTTAGCACTTATATCATCTATCATTTCATGCAATGATCTTCGTAAATTTGAATTCGATGGAGGACTTGCTTTGGTCAAAGAAATACAATGGTCTACTCGATGTAGATTAAAACATTTGACAATTTCTCAATATGATTGGAACACAGTTTACTCTATTCTTATTCATTTACCTTATCTACGAACGCTTGTTCTGGAACAATATCATCTCAGTAGATACGATGCTACTACTATTACACATTCTGATATTCGACCATCAAGCCATTTAACATCGCTTTCGTTAAACGAGTGTAGAGATATAAAAATGAACGAAATTGAATCACTTCTTTCACGTTTACCCATACTAAAGCATCTTCGATTGCTCGACCAGCGCTTTTCAGTTGATCCTCAATTTTTTGACGGTTCTCGATGGGAGGAGTTCATTCAATCGAAATTACCTCTATTAGACAAGTTTGAATTCTGGTTCTCCAATTCTCAAGATTTTGATCCAAATTGTGTTACTGTAGAATCACTGATTGCACCGTTTCAAACTCCATTCTGGCTCGAAAATAAAAATTGGTTTATCAAGTGCGACTATGAGTACAATGAACTTTGGAAGCAGTTTCGTATATATTCGATACCAATCTTTCGAGATTACTTCGAATACTCATATCCCCGAAACACGAGCTTGCATTCGACGTTGAATATCGTTGAAAATAATGTAACAATCGTCGTCAATGTGCATAAATTATCTTTGAATTTGAGCGAAATGACAACTGATGAAATTTCACAAATTGTAAGCATTATTTTAACTTAATTTGAGTCGTGTTAAAAATTTCACTTAGAAGTCATACTAATTGAATGCTAAGACATCAATTCAAACAAAAATTGATTACTACTGGTTTTCAGTAGCCGTTCATTTTGAAAGATTATAGCTGTTCTTGAATGCATCATTCATTGATGTCGAATTCGAATAGTTAAAAAAACAAATTCTTCCAGATCCACAGTTCAAAGTTTTTACACACGATAGTTTATAAATAGTGTCCAAGACTGCCGTCATTTAATTTCAATACAGAAAATTTATCAATTTCAATTCTACCAAAAATATTTTTAAGGGATCGTCCACTGAGTGATTAAATGTTTTTGAGCCAATATATAATCCAGCAATAAGAGACAATTAGGCTCTAACCACCTTCAAATAGTTCATAATCTTGTAATTTTGTCATCGACATATTTGAATGTTTAGTGAATTCTTATATGAAGTAGCTAATATTTGAGTATTTACTATCAACTGTGGCGAAATCACTATGGACCATCGCAAACACAAGTAACCTAATAACGCCGTAACTTACTCCTTCACCGAATCACTTTGGCACTCACATCCTAGTTTATGTATGGCATCCCATGGTGATTTCATTGCGATTTGTGACAACCTATGGACCCTTTGAAGACTGTTACAGTTCAGTAGTCTTCAACAAGTGGATGAAATATGGATTTAAAAATTTCTAATCATTTGAAGCTCAAAAGTATTTCAAACCATTGGAGAATGCTTTATTTCTCTATTTGAGAAAGCGGTAGCCTGCTTTAAAAGTATTTATAAACTATTTTTCTGTAAATAAAAACTATGTATTGTTCGGCTCAAATGAAAATCTATTTACATACCTATACTAAGCACTGTTCTAATGGAGTTTTAGTTTTATTTTGTTCTATTCTTTTTCAGCACACCATGTTTTACAAGATCTGTAAAAATGGTATGACTGAAGAAGAGATCCACACTCATGCCCTACAGCGCTTTTAAAATAAAACACTGAGTGAATGCTGTGAATCGTTTATCCTTGAATGAATAGATGTAAAGTCTTGCATCTACATATTGGTTTGATTTAAATACTGATGAACCTCGCAATACATTCCTCCTAAAATAGACATCTATTTCATTGAATGAATCCGAAACACGAACTTTTTCTATGGATGTTGAATAAAGGATAATAGAAGATACTGTTTGAAACAAAAAAATGCAGACTGTCCTTAGGTTAATTTGTTTCATTCAAATATAAAGTTCGTTAAGGGCAATTTGCTGCTGTTTCATAGCAGAAAAAAAAGATCTTTATTGTTTTTATCACTTTTTTCATTTAATATAATTTATATTTCATATTTCAATTTCTTAAAAGATTACATATTCTTTTTTATTTTAGACTAGTTTAACATCGAATTATCTGTTTTCAAATGTGACAGTACTTGAACTCATAATCAATAAAATATGGTCCGTCGATTTAATTGAACATCTTTCAACCATTGTTAATCTATCCAATCTTCAAAAATTGGAGTTATATTTTCAGTACAACTGTAAGACTGCTAGTTTGGATGCCGCATTGAAAATTCTATTCAAACGAGCATCAAATCTTCGTTCAATTGACATAGACGATAATGATTCTGAAAGAATGAGGAAGCTAATTCTTAATTATATCAGTTTGAAATTACCTCGCCATATAAGACGCCTTGATATTAGTATCAAGGACGTGGACGATGCAAAAATGCTATTGGAGAGAGCCGAACATTTGTCAAGTGTCAAATTTCGCGTACGTGACCCGTATGTATTCGAGAAGCATATCAATGAATGGCTCTCACAAAAGGGAAGAGACGTTACATCTAAGATAGAGTCAGATCCGGCGTATAGGTGTATCCGCACGTGGCAAAAATATCCGCTACATTTGTGGCTTGGCAAGAGTATGAATCAGCAATCGGATACATCAGTTAACCACAAATGTGTGAAGCAAACGCACCCCAATCACTAGTCATGATTCTGTAGTGTCCTTCTTCTAGATCCATTTGATTTCCATTGTTCATTAACATGTTAATCAATTTATTGAACAATGGATCTTTAGGTAAAAGCTAACATATTTGTAATTATAGTCATTTTTCTTTAATAAAGATATCACTTAAAAATATTTGTGCGCCTATAAGTCTTCTTTTCATACACATTCGTATACCAACTAGAACTGTTTCATCGATGTTTTTATTAATTCTGATGTTTGTGTTATCGCGATATGGGTGCGGATAGATATTTAGATGTACCGAATCTATCAGAGTGCGCGAACAACCGTTCAAGAAAACTTTAGGAGTGTTATTAGTATCTGGGAAATTTTTTGAAAAATGATAGATGGCATGTAGCACATGTCTCAATTACAAAATCACCTGAAAATGTTTTTCGAAAAGACTTGCCATGCACGCATAAACTTGATAGAAATAAAATCTATTGAACTTTCGAACTGTGAATTTCTATTTCTCTACTGATACAACATGGCTAGTGTGAACGTGTTTTCATCAAGACAGATGCTTGAAACAAAGTATTGCATATTATAAAAGGAAAGCTTTCGCTTTGCATGTTCATCACATTACTATGGTTCTCAGTACTTTATTCTGCAGAAAAAAAGGTTGCGAAACAAAATCTCAAGGTATTTTTGGATGCATTATGAAAAACTATTTTTTTGCCAGTTAGAATTCTCCTGTAAAATTCTTACTCTCGTACCATCAGATGCGCAATTAGATCCTGAACAAATCTAGTATATATTCACTAAATGAGCTATAGAAGTTAGTCTACTCTGAACCAATTGAGAACAGTAGCTCGACTTTGTCCAGAATCAGGTTTTTCAAAATATTTCGATGTTTTCTATTTCGTAACTTTTCTCCAAAATATATGTGAGTGCGGGTGTGTGTGTGAACGAAAGAGAAACCACGACATTCACACCCACACTCAGAAATAGTCAAACACTTTACTCCATTGGTAAGTAAAGCCATACCTCAAGACAAATAAATATTAATTGGTTGCATGATGAAATCTGTCGAATTGATAACAACAAGACCATGAATGAAAATAAAATAAACAGCAACAGGAGCATCTTCGACAGTAAATTCTGTTCGTGATACCAAAGGTATATGAAGAATACCAGTAGAAACGAGACTAGTATTAACATTTATTGGTGATATTTGATAAAAATTATGTCTTTAAATTGCAAGCTGGTCTCATTTCTTGTGAATCATATCGAATAAGTCCTTGTACCTGTCGATTAATATCAATTCGATGAGGTGGTTATATTTCAACATCTAGACAAGTATCAGTTATATTAACAACATAACCAGCTGTAAATGGTAATGGATCGAAATCAATCGACAATGAAGTGATTTTTAATTCATTAGAATACTGAATATAGAATATAGACATTATTGAGGTACCTATTAATAATGTTTGATCTATTCCTTGCCCGATTATTATTCAATTAGTTGCATTAGATATAATAATTGTTGATGACAAATTATATGTACCAAATCCAAAGAGAATAGAACTATTTAATCCATAGCTAATGGCTGCATTGGTAGCTAATTGAATCGATATTATCATTTGGATATACACCAAATATTAAAACATAAAATGTTTTTCCTGTAACCGATAAACATGTTATGCACATTATCGGTTCCGGATAGTTGTGAATAGTATGATGGAAATCATGATAATTTCGTAACTTTTCTCATCATATCTTTTTTCTGTGTTAACAGTTTCTGAAATTAGGTCATTTAAAACTGGAAGTCTCTTTTTCGGAAATCTGAATATTCCTAGATGAAACGCTTAACCGAATCAGATAGCATAGTGGTAGATCAAATTTTGTCCTCACGTTCGCCAATATGACTTGTTTGGAAACGTATGTACCTATTTTTCTTACTTCTGCTCTCTCAAAGTTGAACCACCGACTACCGTGGTACATATAACAGCTAAACGATTGAGAAACACGTTAGTTTTTCGTACTTAGAGGACTTCCGATAAATTACTTTTAATGATCTCAGCAATGCTGTAAGGTTGATATACCTTGAGATTGTTTTTATTTAATAGTAAAGAAAGAAACTCGAAACCTAATTAGAATAGGAAAATTGTTTATAGATTCTGTCATTATATTGTTTAGTGGTTTATTTCGAAAAATGAAAAATGTACTGAAGTTTCATGGTGTGATCTGTTCAGTTTCAGGTGGTAATTTGCTTAGAGCATACTGTACTTCGATTACAAGCAGACTTTCTTCCGGTAGCGTATGTTTGTAAATTTCCAGAG